CACACACACACACACACACACACACACACACACACACACACAGTCATTATGTGAGGTGATAGAGGTATTAACTAACTTTACTGCGATCATCATTTTGCAAAATATATGTACATCAAAACATCACAGGGGCACCTGGGTGGCTCAGTTGGTTAAGCGTCTGACTTCGGCTCAGGTCACGATCTCACGGTCTGTGAGTTCAAGCCCCGCATCAGGCTCTGTGCTGACAGCTCGGAGCCTGGAGCCTGCTTCGGATCCTGTGTCTCCCTCTCTCTCTGCCCCTCCCCCGTTCGTGCTCTGTCTCTCTCTGTCTCAAAAATAAACATTTAAAAATTTTATAAAAAAAAACCACTCACATTGTACATCCCAAACTTACATAATGTTACATGTCAATTATGTGGCAAAAAATCTGAGAGGAAGAGGAAGAGGGGGAGGAGAAGTAGCAGTTGCAGTATTGGTAGGAGAAGAAGGAGGTGGAGAAGGAGTACTACTAATCCTGCTGATACCTTGTCTTAGACTTCCAGCCTCCAGAACTATGAGAAAAATTTTTATTATTTAAGCCATCTAGACTGTGCTCCTTTCTTATGGCGGCCCTAGCAAACTCATGCACACGCCATATATAGCTACTTACTTGAAAGGCTGGTCAGTGTCCCACAATATAAGCATTCAGAATATTTTACTTGAAGGTAACCATAGAGACAGGGCAGGCATAAACAGCCACATCACAGTACCTTAACAATGATAGTGGCCTTTGAGATTCAATCATGGTTATCTGGGAGACTCTCTTGCAACAAATAGCCTGAGGGTGCTTGACCTCAACTAAAGAATTCCTATACTCTTGGGGTGCCTGGGTGGCTCAGTCAGTTGAGCGCCCAACTTCAGCTCAGGTTATGATCTCACAGCTCGTGGGTTCGAGCCCTGCGTAGGGCTCTGTGCTGATAGCTCAGAGCCCAGAGCCTCCTTTGGATTCTGGGTCTCCCTCTTTCTCTGCCCCTCCCCTGCTCATGCTTGCTCTCTTTCTCTCTCTCTCTCTCTCTCTTAAAAATAAATACTAAAAAAAAATTACTACACTCTAGTTCATCACCTGGTGTTAAGGGAAAAGTCAAGGCATTTTCTACAAATGTGGTTTCTTTCTTTTTCATCTGTTGACGTTACTCAGATGTCTCCTCAACTATTATATAAGACTAGTGGATATTTGACATCTGGTGCTGTTTTAAATAGGAACTCAATCTTTCCATTAAAAAACGCATAATACATGTAATTGATTAGTGTTTTTACATAAATTTTGAGCATGGCTGTTCCTAGCATGATTTTAACACTACAGCATTCAGTGGTCCACTCAAAAGTATCTAACTATGTACCATCTTCAAAAGGATTTATCTGGTAAAAAAGCAAACAGATTTGGGTCTAAATTAGTGTTCCTCAGTAATAAGACAGTTCAATATTGAGAAAAAAAAGCACAACTGAGTTATGAATCCCTTATCAGAATGTTTCTCTCCCTGGTGCACCTGGGGGGCTCAGTTGTTTAGTCTGACTCTTGATTTCTGCTCAGGTCACGATCTCATGGCTCATGAGTCTGAGCCCCACTTAGGGCTCCACACTAATAGCACGGAGCCTGCTTGGGATTCTCTCTCCCTCTCTCTCTGCCCCGCCTCCACGTGCATTCCCTTCTCTCTCTGTCTCTGAAAAAAAAAAAAAAAGTTTCTCTCCTTACTTTTACAGAGGATACATTTTCCTTTGGCACTTTATTTTCAGATAATCCATATACCTCAGCTAAAAGAGTCTTGTTTTTCACCAACAAAGCAGTAAGGTCAGGACAGGCTGGGTCAGCTGCTCTTTTCTTGTACATCATTGGGTTCTTGGTGGGAACCGTTTTAACAGGTGGATCAAAACAAGCCTACAAAGAGAAACTGCAAATTAATTAACTGAACATGTACCCTATTGACCAAAACCAACAATGTTTGAACTCACACAAATGCAATTAAGTAGCTTTAAACAGAATACAACTCTAAAATATTTATTTTGAGGTGCTGGGATAACAAATGCAATAGGTCTCAGGAAAATAGCAAGTAGCCCATATTATTTATCTAAATAAATATAATTTCTAAGAGTATAGGAATCAAGACAACACATATGAGATATCTGGGGAAACGTTAAATCAGGTCCAATAAAACCTTTATAGAGACGTGAACTATTAGAAAGCCATTGATGAAAGAATGACCAGTATGTATTTGTTTTATTTTTGGTTACAAATCAATTCCTATGCATTTTATTATTATACAAATTGATTTTTTAAAATCTGATTTCAGTAAATCAGTGTCAATTTTGTTTTTTCCACACCTATATGGAGGGTAAAACTTAGGGAGTATTTACCTGTATGACAGTATCTCCTCCTATTGTCAAAAGGGTGTGCAAAGTGTAATTGTAATTAGTACAATTTTTGTTAAGAACAAAGTTTATATGACTCAAATAAAACCAAGAAACATGTATTAACATAAATCTCTAAAAAAACATATAAATCTATCACATGGTGCTTAATGTGCTAAAGAACAAAATACATTTTTCTAAAGTTACCAGGTTTTAGAATTTTATGCTTACCAAGATACTAGGAAACAGAATCGCACAAGAGAATACAACATAACTATGTTTAACTATTTAAAGAAATAAAAAAGGAGCATTTGGCTGGCTCAGTCGGTAAAGCGTGCATCTCTTGATCTTGGGGTTGTGGGTTTGAGCCCCAGGTTGGGTATGGAGATTACTTCAAAACAAAACATTAATAAAAAAATAAGAGGGGCACCTGGGTGGCTCAGTCGGTTGGGCAGCCAACTTCGGCTCAGGTCATGATCTCGCGGCCCGTGAGTTCGAGCCCCGCGTCGGGCTCTGTGCTGACAGCTCAGAGCCTGGAGCCTGTTTCAGATTCTGTGTCTCCCTCTCTCTGACCCTCCCCCATTCATGCTCTGTCTCTCTCTGTCTCCAAAATAAATAAACGGTAAAAAAAACCTTTTTTTAAAAAAAATAAGAGGACTGCCTGGGTGGCTAAGTCACTTGAGCATCCAGCTCTTGATTTTGGCTCAGGTCATGGTCCCAGGGTTGTGGGATTGAGCCCCACATCAGGCACCACTCTGAGAAAAAGAAAGATAGAAGGAAAGGAAGAAAGAAAGAAAGAAAGAAAGAAAGAAAGAAAGAAAGAAAGAAAG